CCCCCCCTCCCGATGTGTCACGCTTCTTGTTGTCAGGTGGACATCAAGAGTGTCGAGAAGTGGGCGGACTTCACGGGGGAACCTAGAGACGAAGAAGCAGGGAAGGCCTACTTCCTTTCGCTATTCCTCAAGGTGAAGAACGTTACGTCATATCGATGATTTTTTATTGAAGGAACCGACGGGGAGCGACGGGGAGCGACGTTTTTTTTTTTTTTCGCGAAACCTCCAAAACCCTACGGCAACTAAAAACGTAAGATATCGCACCCTCCAGGACCGATTTTCAAAAATGGCTCTCAATTTCTCGATGAACGAAGAGGACGCATATGTACATCAAGACGATTCGTTTTCGGTAGGCTCTCGGCGAGACGGTTCCAACGACGCCATCGTCGGCGCCGCCGACCACCCTTTCTGTTATGGAGTAATCGAGCTTTGAAAATCAGTCCAGAGTGTGTGGTGCCTTTTTTTACCTACGGAATTGTTTTAGCTTCTTCACAGGACCAACCGCACGCGATCACCGTGTGAACCTACGTCCACAGAGAGGCTCTCGTATTTTTGCGACGGCGGGCGAAAATCGACATATGAGCTTTTACTCAACAATAGCAAGCGAATACCAAGGTGGAGACGTCACGCTTGTTGGACAAGAGAGCAATTTGTTTTACGCAATACCACAGACACATGCTAAGCTTGATACGCCCACGTCTTTGGGCAAATAACGACAACCCGGCAGCGTTATTGTTTTTTGTTGGATCCCTTTTTTTTTGTCTACCTGTTTTTTTTCAAACTCATGTAGTTTTTTCGTGTACTTTGTCGAAGTTCGCTGGGGTGTTCCGAGTCGAAAAACACGCCAGCTGTGTGAGCTGTTGAGCTTGGAAAAAGTCACACCGCAGCTGGCAGCCAACTGCTTGGTTGGTCCTGCATGCCTCTGCTTTATTTTCATCTCGCATCACACCCCTTGATGGCGGCTGTGCTCTGGTGAGCCTACCCCAGAGTTATTCCTTTACACCAATGATCTACGCGCACCCGCCCGCCGCATGCTTGCGTGTATCCCCGATCTTAGGTGAACCAAAATCCAGAGAGAGAAGTCTATCACCACGTGACCTGCGCCACCGACACAGAGAACGTGAACTTCGTGTTCAACTCGTGCAAGGACGTTATTCTGCGGAGCAATCTGAAGGACTCGGGCTTTGTTTAGGAGCAAGGCACGCGCGAGCTCACGCCAAGCACGTGCAACAGACAAAAAACAACAACAAGGTCGTCGTCGTTGGTGTCGTAGTCGAAATTTCCGTGTTTTAATTGTAGATTCTGAAAAATACCGTACCGTTCGTACCTTTCCGCGAATCGGCCTGCCTCCGGTGGCTGTGGCGGAGGCGTTTTCCCTGGCCCCGCCGCCGCCACCAATCAATCAATCTATCTAAATTCAACCAAGCCAGCCATTGTGTGGTAGAGAGAACAAGAACAATAATAGCACCCGCTCTCTTGTAAATTCATTTTCGTTTTCTTTTATGATGGAGCATTAACACTAGGGTCCGTTGGCCCCGGCATGGAACATTTAACAACTCCCCTGCCGTTTGGACACACGCGGGTGGTCCCGATTGTTCGGAGTGACGTCCGGCTGGGGGGGGGGG